TTTTTGGGAAAATCTCCCCCCCACACACACACACACAAGTATCAGGGTGGGTTGCCCTAAGAGGTTTCCCTTGGAGCTGTGCCGTAGGGACCAAAGAAAAGGAACTGAGAGGTTAGACGGAGGTCTTGGGCGATCAGCTGAGCAAGCAGCCTGGAACGGAAAGGAAAAAGGCTTGGAAAAGCTGGCCGAGCTTTTAGGGGAATCCTCTCGAAACAGTCAGGTCTCCTACTTCCCAGCCCTCGGGTGCTCCTGGCTGATTCCCCCTGCCCTGCCCTGCCCTGCCCGAACCTCACTTTGCTATTATCACACGCACACGCACGCACACACACATACACAACCTGTGCTGCCTTTCGGAATTAACCTTCTTCGATTTTTTTTTTCCTAGCTACGTGGCAATCTCCGGGTTTCTTCTAAACTGTTAGGATCCCTGAGTGCCTTTTCCACCTCGATCTCTACTAGTTTAGGGAAAGCTGAGGACTGAAAGTAGACAGATGAAAAGGAGATGAAGAGTGAGGTTGGTGCGAAACAAAAACACGGAAAGAAAAAAAAAATAGAAGTGGACTCTCCTGTTTTCATTTCCTGCGGGTACCCCTTTAGCTTGGGGGGGGGGGGACCACCAAAACATTGTTCAAAAGGAGCTACAGTACGACGAGGGCAAGGAAGACATTTGCATCAAGCATGTCTTGTACGATCAACTGGGTATGGAAGTTTCTAATAACATTGCCTTTTAAAAATAGACAGAACCTATTAAAAGAGGATTTTTGCCAGATCAGGTTTCCATATACTTCTGCTATGCAAACTGTTTTATTTCTTCACTTGAGTTGGAACTAGAAGAATTATACTGAGCTGATTCTTCAGCAGACTGGATTTAATTGTGTCCTGGGCTAGGAAATGGACTGGTACACTCTAGATGTCCTTTACTTCCTGGTCAATGTATCCTGCAACCTGATTCTCCCTTCTATTTCAAAAAGAGCCAGAGACCTCTTTTCCATAATCCCAGAAATGACTGAAAATGGGGGTTGGGAAATGTATTGTTAGCCTCAGTGGTCCCTCTCTGTAAACAAGGACGGGGCTGTCACTTCCTTCTTTTGAATCTAGCTTTATGATAGGAATACACACAATATGTGCATATCATGTACAGTTTTATTTTATTGAGAAGTAGATCTAATTCTCAAGCAAGATCAAGTTACTCTTCAGGAAAACTCCTATGATGTTCTGTCATTAAAACTACATCTTAAGTGCAAAGACTATTTTTTTTAAAAAATCTGGATGTCTTTGCTTTGCCCTCTTTTCTAGGAAGAGTCATTATATTTTGAGTTGCCCACAAAGAACTGGATGTCCAAGTGGGCATATTTCCCATTCTCCAGGATCTTAAAACATCTCTTTTTGTACCACGCCTCCCTATCTTTGGCCTATGTGGTGTCTCTGCTGGCAAGCCTTTTATTCATCTTCAGGTGGAAATTTCCCTTTTAGCATTAGCTTTAGGATTTGCCAGGTGTTGCTGTATATCGGATGGTACAAGGCCCCTAAAAACAGCATATTTATACCTTGTTTTTATGAGGAATTGTGTTAAACCTTTCTGTCGTATTAAGTTCTTAAGGCCTAAGACAAGAATTTAATATGCACCCCAGGAATCAGGAATTACAGAGACCCATCAACTGGAAAGTTATTTTCACCTGCATAGGGTCTTTGAGATTATAAATATCATTTATATTTAAGTATTACTTACCAACATTTTTGGCCTTTTTGTTTCTGTAATATCATTTGGACAGGGGCAGGTGTCCCTATGGTGTGTTTGGATGCACTTTGAATAGAGATGATTTTTAATCTTCAGTGGGGAATATTTAAAAGTATCTTGATTTCTGGTTTTAGTTAATTATATTTTAATGAAAGTGTCACTCATATTCACATCACATCTGTAGTATTAGGTTAAGATAATTAGATTTTCAAATGAGAAGCAATCTCCATCCCTTGCAGGAGAAGATTTCTAAGACATTCTTATTTATAATGGCATCTACGCGCTATCGCCTATGCCTTCTTTTTTCATATGTTTTCAATATCTTTACCAAACCTAAGAACACATATACTTCTTTTTTTCTGCTCCTATAGGGGAAAAAAGTATTTGTGCTGAAAATAGTTTTTGCTTTGTTGAATCTGTTTACTGTTGCTATTACACATTAAAAATACTGTTTGCTATTATAAACTTACTTTTGTTGAGCAGTTGGACCAGTTACCCCAGGGAGATTAAACTGCCATAGGTGTGTGCAATAATGCATAGTCTTAATATGTATACATTGCTACAGTTATTAGACACAGTATCTTTGTATGTACAGTGGGGTGTGTGTGTGTGTGTGTGTGTGTGTGTGTGAATAAAGCCTCAATAATATGTAAATGATTCTTTAAGGCTGAAAGAGCAAAAATTTCCGTCTCAGCCTTACTTCCTTTCCATACAGAGGCACATTCCACATTCATTATCCAAAGCATATTTTCTTCTTAAAAA